AAAACACTATCTGCCCTTCCTAAAGACAAGAGTTAGCGGGACACCAGCAGGGTTTAACTGCTTGCTTAGCCTAGTTCTCGTGGCTAATTGAAATGATTCTCTCTCACGCGTGCACTTGGAAACACAATGTGATTTTTATGCAGGATGAGCAATGGTCCTATCTCTGTGTAGTTCTATATCTGCAGCAGGGGACAAATACAAGCAAAGAGTTTTAATTCTGTAACATGCTGCAACTAGGCTGAACTTGTTATTAATGACACTCCAAAAGCTAATAAGTTTCCAAATTAGACTCCAGAGGCTTGGTGATGTTCCTAGTAGAGTCATTAGCAAAATTCTCAATGACTTAAGAGATTTGGACCTCCAGAAGATAACAGAATTCAGGATTAGACACCGCAACCTTGTTAAGAGGGATGATTGCCACTGCTCATTCATTTGGTTCAGACCTGGGGTTTATAACTCATGAACAGTTGGAACTTTTACTTGGTATCATAAAGAAGTTTTGCTGATGCCTCAAGCTTCTCTGCGACTCTGCTTAGTTCAAACTCCTTTCCAGTACAAGGATAAATGAACAACATACCAAGCAGCTTGAAGGTAATTTTCTTTCATTCTGTTTTAATTTTTTCGCAAGACTGCATTTGCCAAGTGGTATTTCTATAGATACAATAATTTGCATAATATTAAGAAGATATGCATGTGCAGCATGGCATGGGTCCTTATCCCCACAGGTTTTTGCATACAGAAAGATATGTGGAACGTACTGGGTACATGGTAGCTTATTAGCTTGCTAACACTTGCTTCACAAGGCATCTGTGGGCAATTCCTAGCTGTTCACCTCAGTGATATGATACTGCTAACCAGTAACAGGTCATGGAGAAATCAGAATGATAATCCTGAGCCTTTACACATAGCACAGGACTTCCATCTGAGGCTCTCAAGGGTGAGGCAGCCTTTATTAAGGGAGGTAAATAAGTGCATGCCTAATTTTGAGCACAAGAAATCCTACTGAAGTGAAGTCTACACTATTAAGCTTTGCAATACCTAACCATGTAAGTATAAATATTATTCCTATTTTACTGGTAAGGAAATGAAGGTATGCCAGCAATGTAGCAACACAGCATTTAAGAGCAGTAGCCTGGGGTGCCCCGGCAACAACCTCACTGCCGCATTTCCAGCAATCCAGCATTCAGAAGAGAAAGGCAGTTATAAACAGTGACTTAAGTATCTAGCATGAAGGGAAAAGCATGAGTAAAATGAGTTTATATATCATGCTCGTGTCTTGAATAGTCTGCCGTATGACTGACAAGGAATAACACCAGGTTTAGCAAAGGATGGCAGTTTCTGTTGTGTCTTCTCATACTGTAATGTCACCACGGACACTGATACAGGGCAAATTCATTATGAGAAGGACAGCTAGAGTTAACAGTCATGTGTTTCTCTTTCTGTGTGTGGCAAGAACATTAGGGCTCCAGATAAATCATTTAGCACTACAACAGAGACATTACTGACAAGGCCTCTCCAGTGACCAATTCCCCCTGCTCTAGGTTAGAGTCTTCAATAAAAGTTGCACACCCACCATGACAATTCTCATGTTTACCTGACCAACCCACTCCTTCTGCTAGCTAGTCCTACTCAGGCACCACATGAACTTTTAGATGTTTTTTTCTTGTACCTGTTTAGTCTTTGTTAACAGCTCCAGTGCTAGCAGGAAGTTTTTGTCAAAAGATATTTGCTTTTCCCATCAAAACTAGTACATTCTACCAAGCAGTTAAATGTGCCTTTGTTAGGAACATTGCCAGTGAAAAGCAGGGAAACACCACACCAGAATACCCGATGGCTTAGGGATTAGACCACTCATCTGTCTTGCAGGAGACCCATGTTTGACTTCTATCTGATTCAGACAAGAGACTTAAAACTCAATCGCCCATATCACAGTTGAGTGGCCCAACCATTGAACTATTGGGTTTTCTGGGTTGGAGCTGTTAGTAGGTCTCTGTCTTTTTTACCTTGAGAAATTTCATCCCAGAAATGAGAAAATTCCCTTGACAAAAGATTAATTGAAACTAGTACATTTCTACTAAGAGTTTTGGTTTTAGTGAATCTGCATATCCAGCAACATACTGCTGGAAAGTTTCTGAACAGTTCTATTAAAAACCTTTCTAAATTCTAATATTATAAGTCTTAGTCTGTCTGTCCATAATGCTTTATTTGCGCCCTGATTGGTTGTCTGAAACAACCAATCAGAGTGCTTCAAGAGCAGTCTGGACAAGAGATGGTGGCAGTACAGTGGAGCACCAACATGACAGTGGGGATGGAGGTCAGCAGCACTGGCCTCGCCCCTGCCCCCCCTGGCCCTGCTACCTGGAGATGGCGCCAGCAACAGAGTGAATGGAGCGGGGAGGTGAAGCCCCGGACCCGAAGTAGGCGGGGGGGGGGGAAATGGGCACAGTCCTGGCCCTGGTCCTAGCTCCAAAAGTGGCAGGGGGGAAGGGAGGAAGTAGGCCCAGTCCTGAAGCAGCAGGGGGTTGGAGGGGGGAGCAGACCCAGTCCCAAAGTTCCAAGGGGGAGGGCGGGGGCAGGGGGCAGCGGGCCCAGCTCTGAAGCAGCAGGGGGAAGGGGGCAGGAAGTGGACTTCCATTTCCACTCACCCCCACCATTCTTGACAGGCAATTTGCTAGCTCTAGTCTATGTTTTTTTAGGAACCAGCAATGACCTTTGGCTTAAATAAGTCTTTTTCCTCCCTGGTGCTTACATCTGTGGTGTATTTAGAAATGGCAATAACATCCCTTGAAATGTACACAGTATTCCAGATGACATATCACCAATACATTGCACTGTATTAATTAATGATATTAATTAATCAATCAATTAACCTCCCCCACCCTGTATTTACTGGATTCATATCAACTGAAACGTTCTAGGCTTATACATGTCTAGGCTTGTATTTATCTTTCTGGGCTTGTATTCATCTTTTTCATAACCACATCACACTCTTGGCTCTTAGACAGCCTTTAATTAACTAATACACTTCATGCCTTCTCCTCTTTGCCATTTTCAACTGATGAGCTCCCAGCTTTGAACAGAAATTCTCATTATTAAGTAGCTATGGACTCAATGCAAAAACTACTAGGTAAAGTTCTAGGGTCTGTGAGTAGCAG